AGCTGACAATCAATTTCTGCGCAGTGTACGTACGAGTTAGCCCTTCGTCGTCAACACTTTTGGCTTCAAACTCACTCTATGAGCTTATCCTCCTATGTCTAGTCATTGTGGGAAGGGGCTAGGCTAGATTAATGGATTATTTGGTTTTTTATTAAACCTTAATTCTTCTCGTTAAGTATAGGTATCTTTTGAAACTTTCTCAGCTGTGAAACATTACAAGAAAAATATCCATCAACGTTATGTTTTGTAAACATATGCTCTTTTTGTTGATAGACGAACTCGTATGCGTAGTTATTCTTTGCGCACTTTTACATCCATTTTTTTGCAGAGATTAGAACACGTCCTAAATTATGAGAGTAATTCGTGCAAGTTCCTGTAAAATAAATATCATGAAAAATTTGACCTTTTCATACGAGCTCATGATACTATTTCCGTCACCCTGTAGACGCCATTGGCACCTTTCTCAAAAATCTTTCATCGCTCACTCTGCTGTTAACCACTTAAGATAAGGAAAATGGGCGTGCTTCACTTAATTCTTATTAACCGTATTCCCTTAGTTCGACGGAAACGCGGGACAGATAAAATGCTTTTTTGACGGAGAGAGATGGTTCAGCGCTTCAACTCAAGTGGATAGGTGTCTGGTAGATATGAGATTTGATGGCATCGCCTGCTCTCACATATTTCACCAGTAGGATGTATTTGGAGTATCCTGTTGGAAATGTTAGGCAAATGCTAAATTCAATTCCTTTGTTATATCGAACGATACAGACTAACACTGAAACGGAAGAAATGAGGTCAAGTAGGTTAGCTTTGTACTTCTCATTTAACGTAGACATCAGTTCATAGAGAGGTTATCCTCTCTTAGAAAAATGTTTAAACATATACAGGGTGTCCCGAGAAAAGTGTGCAATATTCTACCAGCGGTTTCTAGAGCTTAAAATATTAAGAAAAGTTTATATAAACATAGGTCGACAAACGTCCCCTAAGGCCGCTACGGTCTTTTAAAGGGGCTCCCCTAAAGATGTTTTTTCCTTAATATTTCCGAAACGTGTTGAGATAAAGACATAAAATTTGGTATTCTAGCCTAGTTTTTTATGCTGGATTTAAAAATATTAACAATTTTAGACAGTTTTGTTTGGAAGCGTATGTAACAGGGACGGACTCAGGTTATTTGAGCCCCAAAATTTTTGTGTGATTGTATTTTTGAAACTACATACTACATAAAAAAGGTACTCTTATTGAATATCGATAAATTTTGCCATTTTTGAATAAAATCAAACTAAATAATTTGTCGCATAATAGGAAATGTACTGCGAATTTAAATAAATTGTTGAATTTAGCCATGGCAACGAAAAAACTAATTTAATAATTTGTAAATATTACATAAATACATATTTCTATTGCAACATAGCTAACATTTAGGCAAAAACAAAAGAAATACATTTTTTCTACGAACGAAATTGAAATTTTTTTAAAAAAGAAGACATACAGTTGGATATACTTAAAACTAGCTTTACAATAAGTGTTCAAATAAATTCCCATTTCCTTGGATACAGAGTCTCGTTCGACGAACTAATGATTGCTAGCTCGAACAGTGGAAAACCTGTTTCTTCTTATTTCATTTGCAGCCTGATGGATTCTTTGAAGTAACTCTTCTTGAGTATTCACTTCAGTCGAGTAAACTAGGTCTTTTAATGACCCACAAAAATAGAAATCAAATGGATTTAGGTCAGGTGAACGTGACGGCCCAACCACCTGTCTGGAAAATTGACATTCAACCAATTTCGAACATTGCGTCCAAAATATACAGGGGCGCCAACATGTTGAAAAAACATATTTTCTTGAAACTTCTGGCGCACATCCAATGGTATTATATCCATGAGTTCATTCTGAAGAAAGTTCGGATACACGTCTGAATTAAGACGATTGGGAAGTACAGTAGGCCCAATCACTTGATCCGCAATTACTCCTGCCCATAAGTTCAATGAAAATCTATGTTGGAAATTTGTACGGCGAACAACTTTTGGATTTTCATCTGACCAGTGAGGCATGTGATGGAAATTAAAAGCACCATTCCTAGTAAATATTGACTCACCCGACCATGCTATTCTAGGAATAGTCTTTTCATTTGCTAATATCCACTGGCAAAACTCGATTCGTGGTAAAAAATCTGCCTCCGTTAAATGCTGCACCCGTTTAAAATGATAAGGATGTAATTCTTGCATTCTTGTCATTCTCCCTATCTAAAATTATTATTTTTAGGATAACTATCAAATAGGTATTCATAAATTTTTCTTATTATTGATCGAGGTATATCCATATTTTCTGAAACATTTCGTATGCTTATTTGCGGATTATTTTCAAACATATTTAAAGCAATATCCATACGATGATTTCCCAGTGGCCTTCCTGAGCCCTGCATGCGCTGAAAACTTCCGTGGTTTGACAAATTCCGGTGAATATCAGTAAACATTCGACATCCAGGTACTATGCGATTGGGAAATCTTCTTTGATATTCTGTTACGGCTGCCAATGAACTGTCATTGCAAAACCCGTACACAAAATGCATGTCAGCCAGTTCTCTGTCTGTAAATCTTGGCTTTTTAGATCGATTTGATAAAAATTTTTATATAAATCTAGTAATTTTACACTGCTAACAATGTCAGCTTAACGTCAAAATGAGTCATAACAAATCAAAACAACTTTTGTTTGCAGCCATGGCTATGTATAATCAACAATTCGCTAATTATTCAACAATTTATTTAAATTCGCAGTACATTTCCTATCATGCGACAGATTATTTAGTTTGATTTTATTCAAAAATTTCACAATTTATCGATATTCAATAAGAGTACCTTTTTATGTAGAAAACCCTAAATTTTCAAATTCTAAAATTGAATTTCAAAAATACAATCACACAAAAATGTTGGGTCTAAAATAACCTGAGTCCGTCCCTGTTACATACGCTTCCAAACAAAACTGTCTAAAATTGTTAATATTTTTAAATCCAGCATAAAAAACTAGGCTAGAATACCAAATGTTATGTCTTTATCTCAACACGTTTCGGAAATATTAAGGAAAAACCATCTTTAGGGGAGCCCCTTTAAAAGACCGTAGTCGGCTTAGGGGACGTTTGTCGACCTATTTTTATATAAACTTTTCTTCCAATTTTAAGCTCTAGAAACCGCTGGTAGAATATTGCATACTTTTTTCGGGACACCCTACCCTGTATTACAGAGAAATTCAACGGATCAGGTTCGTCAGTTAGGCTCATACATTGATTACCCAGTGCCTACCCACATGACAGTGTTGTGTTCTGGAAACTTCTTCTTTGTCCGATCGACCATATAACAACGCTTCGATCAGACTTACGGCAGCAGTTATCTCACGAAATATTCGTCTCCTATTTTCGTTGTGGTTCACGCAGATGTTGCAATTATTTATATGATTCTATATGAAATTTATGTAAGAAGTACGTGCGTGACGTTAAAAAATTGAAATATATCCTTCTTCACTCCCGACAAACCCCACCCCCAACATTTTGCTCAAAAAAAAATAATAAGCAAGAACTCTGAAACGTCAACAAAACTTTACACGTATTTTACCCTTTTTGCCGTCATATGGGTTGTAAATAACAAGAATACTGGATAGGAGAAAGGAACAATGGCAAGAGGAGGAAGATGGTAGGTTTTGTTGGTATTGGGGTCGTACTGGCTAGTTCTGGAGGTACCAATTTTTACATGGTTTGGATGAAAGACCGAAGTCAGACGGGTTTATTTGACTGGCTCATCGCGGGGCGACATCATGGAGGAGAGCTCTGAGGAGCAAATTCCATTGACATTGCGAGGAAGTGCGTAGCTTACACAGAATCAGTATTAAGAAGTGGAATCATCAAGTCAGAACACATACAATCAGAAAGAAAGAACTTCTTCGTATTTTATATTAGTTCGCTAGTATATTCACATAGTTTTCCTAGATGTTTTTATCTCCCGCAACGGAGGTTTGTTTATCTCAGACAAAGGCCGCTTGCAAAAATGTGCACTTCTCCTTCTGTTGTTGGATCTAACGACAATTTTATACCATACGGAACATGAAATATCTAATCAAATAGTGAGTGCATTCTTCCTTTTTACTCCCCTCGCCAACTGGCAAGGAAGTATTCTAATCGTGAAAAATTTCAGATATAAGCATGTTTTTTTGTTGTTTCATCACAATACACTGTCACTCATTTCCGTGGATCGGTCAGATCTTGATGAAAATTTTAAACACGACTAAGCTAAGGACGAAATAACTATACATTTTGAAGATCGATCAAATGGTGACGGAGCTACAGGCCAAAAATAAAACTTGCTCAAACTTCGTTTCTTGACGCTTCAGTGGCTGCAGAAAAACATTTTGTAGGGGTTAAAGAATGCAGAATGGTTGTTGTAGGGGGATGGAAGAGTATCTCAATTTTTTGATTGATTGACACATATATACGTCAAATCCCGGTCATTAAACACATCTTACACATCATAGATTTTCCCGTAAATTTGACCTTAAAACTTCAAACTTCAAATGATGTCTGTTAAGTGGTGAGGTTAGCCATAGCAGTACACTCGATAGGACAGGGGAGAAAAATCTAGACTGCAACATTGTGAAATGGGTTGGGTCTGCGGAATTATTGTATAGACCTGATTGACTGGATCTATTTAGTTTTTTGTAATACATGCACGTTACTAACTGTTTTCTCAGGAAGGACTAACTCATGCCGAATATAATTCTTTATGAGCTGAGGACAGCATGGGAAGTGGACAATCAACTTATTTGACGCCATTTTCTTTTACTTCTTCTTTACTGTTTTGCCGCAAACAGGTTTTTTATTTAAAACGTATTTGTCTCGCAAGAGGTGATTACTTGTAAAAGAGATGCCCGTTATGCGATGCGTGAAATCCTCATATCGTCGGAGGTTGCCGCTGATATCAGATATGCTTTGTTATACGCAAAAATAGTCCCCTTACCTCTTAGCATGACCTTCTTAATACTTCTCTTAGCCGATGTGCAATTCCACCGTCGGTGCCTGAACTGCCACTGGCACTCCGTCTGCCCCAAGGCGACGCCCCTGGCGATTTGGTTCAAAAGCGCCGGCTTGTTCTGACAGATGTCGGCCATCTTGCCGCGGGACCATCGCGCCCGCTTGCACATTTGATTTGGGTCCATCACCAGGTGCTGCTGAGTACTACCACTTGACGAGGACCTGCAACAGGAAAGTTGAGAATTGACCATTCCTTTCAAGGCTGGGGATGGAATCATTTAAAGCGGGATTCAATAGAGCTCAGGGCTGTACCTAATGTATTTATTGTAACAATGATATCAATAAGTGAGTTTATAGTCAACGCCAAACAAAGTGGCGTGCACGTCATCACGATAAAAATTCCCCGACCTAATGCCTAGGTTTCTATCACAAACAATTGCTCTATTGCAGTTTCATATTAATGTGATATATAAATTGTAAAATGGTCATTACTCTCTTATTATGGTTAATAGTCATATAAACATTGTTATTAAAATATCACATAAGTTGCTTTCTGATAAATTTAGACGCATTATGCGAAATAAAATGTTTTGCAAACGCTCCAATCACTTATCGACATGTAAACGCACTAAACCGATTTCGCAGCGTTGACACATTGTCACCTTGAAACTTATTTAAACTGGGAACTGACATTTGTATTAATTTTGACACTGAATCAATTTGTGGCATTTCAAATCTTTATAAATCCTTTGGCCCCGCATACTGTAAATCAACAACTGTTTGTTTCAAAACAAAATTATTCATTTTACGAGTAGATAAAGGCAATTTTGGTATATAAAGATGCCCAAACAGTTAAATAGTCGGTGTAAGGAACTCGTGGCCTCGTTAATGCACTACTTTGAGCAAGAAAGGGACAACAACGGGCCTTTGTTGCCTTTAAATGCTGTTCAAGAGGTAGGTTACTAATAATTATATGTAATGTATATTAATAATAGTGAAACTTTATTTCATTTTTTGTAGCGTGTTGCTGCTGCTTTAAAAATTAGTTTAAGGACAGTTAGTCGTATTTCCGAGGGTGTGAAAAGTGATGCAAATTTAGAATCGCCCAAGAAAAAGCGAAGTTATATTAAACGTGTAACCAACACAGCGACATTGGATACAAGTGCCATTCGAGAAGTGATCTATAATATGTATCACAAAAGTAAGATCTTATTATAATAACTTATCAGAAATTTGCATTAATTTGTTAACTAAATTATAATGTCATATTACACATGGTTTCAGAAGATCAAGTTACGATACAAACTTTATGGTCTCGATTAAGAGATAGGGCATTATTTGATGGTAGTGCCACGTCTTTAAGGCGGTTGCTTAGAGATCTTGGATTTAAGTGGCTTAAGGACAATCCGCGACGAGGGCTCATGGAACTACCAAGTATAGCTTTGAAAAGGGTGGAATTTCTAAGGCAATACAATCAAGCCAAGGTTGAGGCCTTATACCAGTTTGTCTTCCTCGATGAAACTTGGATATTTCAAAATGGGACCATAGGTCGCTCTTGGCAAAATGGAAACCAAAAAAGCGTGAAAGCTATTAAAACAGATGGTAAAAGGTATGTACTTTTACACAATTTGCACTATAAAATTTAAAACTAATATATTTTAGATACATTATATTACATGCTGGAAATGAAAATGGGTTTATTGAGGGTACTGAAGCGATATTTTCTTCGAAAACAAAATTGAGCGATTACCATGGAGAGATGAACCAGGACAATTTTTTGAAATGGTTTCAACATCAGTTATTAGAAAAATTGGAGAGTCCATCTATGATTATACTGGATAACGCCCCTTATCACAGCATGATATTGAACAAAGTGCCCAACAATGCATGGACAAAAAAAAATATCCAAGACTGGTTGACAAATCAAAACATACCATTTTTAAACACAATGTTTAAAACAGAGCTATTGAGTATTGTTGCTCGGTACATAATGCTTCTTAATTATATATATTTTGGTCGACAGTTTATATTTCTTTTGTTTATTCCTATTCTTAAAATAACTGCTTTTTTAGAAACAAACCACCTAAAATATACGTGATTGATGAATTGGCGGAACAACATGGGCACAAAGTTCTTCGTCTGCCTCCTTACCATTGTATATTTAACCCTATTGAGTTAATTTGGGGCATAGCAAAAGGTTACTATAACAGACATATTGGTAGAGATGGTAACAGTGAAAAAGACTGTTTGGATATGTGGAACGAGGCTCTACAAACGGTTACCCCAGACATGTGGAAAAATAGTGTTCGACGTACTGAGCAAGAAATTTTTAAATGGTATGAAAGAGAACGAATTTTTGATCGACCAGACATCGAACCTTTAATAATCAACTTTGAGAGTGATGAAGATTCAGATTCAGACAGCGCTGAAGAAAGAAACTCCGACTAACTTTATTGTACAGAAAAAGCTTACACCAGTAGCTTACCTAATTTTAGAATGCATTTTTCTGTATGAATTCTGTAAAATAAATACCATGCATAAAATTTGGAGGACCCCATTTGGATTTTTATTCAGTACCTATCAATTAAATATGGTAGTTTCATAGTGTCATCTGATCAATAATTGTCATACTTAATGATTATGCAAGTACAGATCTATAATTTTATTATACTATTATTTTTGTTCTCATTTGAGGTTAATATTGCTTATAAACCTAGATATGTAAATAATAAATTTTATTATTTTACAAAAAGTTTGGCAGCAATGTAAATTTTTCAACACACCCACCTTGATGACGTGCACGCCACTTTGTTTGGCGTTGACTATAGAAGTACTCCAAACAAAAAGTTTTTCAATCCAAGAAAAGGTTATGATTAACTATAATGGCAGCTGTTCAAATCCACTACTTGTTCTACTGAGTAGGGCTTAAGTTTGTAACCAGAATATAAAGTTATTATAATTTTTAATGAACGGCAACATTTTAAAAGAGATTGGCACCAAGCTCGAAATATTTCATTATAGTACCTATGTAAAATTTTAGGCTGAGCAATCTGACATCTATCACAGAGACGTTATTCTCCCGGAGCAAAGTACGTAGTGGGGGAATTATATCGATGGACGTGCACGCCATGGACTATGCAGGAAACATCATCAGACAGATAGTGGAATAATTATGTACAGGGTCTCTATGGTGAAATCTGCGTCATGTAAGATCTGGCAATGAGGCAAATATACTCAACTTGATTTTTTGGCAATGAGGTAGTCTTACATCAAGAATGAAACCATAACATTCTCACGAAATTTTATTGATAAGGAATAAGAAAAAAAATTAATAATGTGTTGGGCGACCCCACAGCTGAATACACTCCCGTGAGATGATCGATCTCTGGTTCCCCCACACACATATTCGATGGGATTTGAATCCGGTCACAGCAAAACATTAACGCCTGCTTCTTGCAGAAAGTTCGTAGTACAACGAGCAATTTGGGGATGTGCGTTGTCTTGCTGAAAAAGGACATGTGGACGGCCCTCTAGATACGGTAGTAAGGTGGTTTGTAGGACATGATCAACATAACGCGCAGCAGTCCTATTGCCTTGAACAAAGAGAAGGGGTGATCAACTACCACAGGCAATAGCAACCATTACTCCAACAGTCCTGTGTACATGCCTCTCAACAGCAAATCCAATATCATGCCGTTCTCCACGGCAGCGTCTTACCCTTCTACCACCATCGTGCGTACCTAAAAAGAATTGCGATTCGTCGCTGAAGATGACATTATGCCATTTTACCTCCCAATGCTCTAGTTTAAACGTTGACGACAGTGGACCGCAGTCCGAGGAAGCACTAACCGTGGACGGTATGACAAACGCGCGGCGATAGAGTGTTACTATTAACAGGTCTATGTTCTTCTCCAAATCATTGGTCAGCGATCTGACGCGTAGTAGCAAAACGGTCTCGTACGGCTAGTTCTCTGAAGCGCCTGTCTTAACGCTCTGTGGTACGCCTCGGTGAACCAGTTCGCCTTCTTCATGTTCCTCTACCTTTTTCTACTCACACACGCACTACCGTCATTGCAGTACAATTAACACGGCGACCAATTTCGCGATAGGACAAACCAACATCTCGATAGGCAATAATTCTACCCCTGTCAAAGTTGCTTACATGGTGATAATTAGGACGTCTTCGAACTGGTGGCATTTTGTTATGATTAACACTAGTAAATGAAAGGGCAATAACTAAAAATGTCTTTACTACTCAGCTCTCAGAAACTGCCTTCTTCACAAGAGATAACATTTTAACAAAGGTAAACTAAAACAAAGATAAAAGATTGACAGCAAACTGCATGCTGTAAACATAGTCATAATGTTGCCAAAAAACAAGTTGAATAAATTATTTTTTCTGCGTGTAAGACTTCTAGACACTGAGTATATTTCGCTGTCATCATTTATCATATGAAAAAAATATTGTCAGTTTGGAATTCGATGGAATATCTATATTGCGCAAATCAAGTAGAAATATAGAATAGCACCTGTTTAATGTCGGTGATAAAAGATAACTGGAGTGACGTCGCCATAAAATACGCAGCTCCGTTTTTATGGTAGCCGACATGCCGAAACGTTGATATACTTACTATTTTTTATCATTCCCATAATTCCATCAGTAGACTACATCCCATCCAAATCTAAGATGGAAAAGAAGTTAAACCGTCATGCACTATTCCCATGATACTCGGAAGCTGCAGAATTTGACAGAATAGTATTTAGATCCGTTGCTTTGATTGAAAGTTACTTGTCCACCTACGACTGATACGCATACAGCAGTGCAGATATAATGCACATATGAAAAAACTTTCATTATATTTCTACAATACTGCACGATGAACGGTACGTGACGTCTGACTGCAACTCTGGGGCTTGATTCTAAATGAATTTCCCTGTCGGAATTAATTTCGATGACGCGTCATATACTCGTATATAAACCGCTATAATGGTTTTTACACCTGAGTCTAGCGATCTTTCATAGTTAAGGTATCATGGCATGGTCAGTGTTATCATAGTGGATCAAATACGTGAGGGCAAAGCGCAATCGAAATTAATTTCAACGGTCGAACTTCAATTATTAGAAACAGGCCTCTGTTCTGATGCAGGTCCCGGTAGACCAAGCGATTTAAATCGAATTAATCAATAGACGCTGATCTATTTTGTGATGTTTTTACTCTAAC